AATGCCACTTTGACAGTGAAGTCAAACCTCCTGCAGCGCCACTAGCAGGCTGAGTAGGGTCATTACAGGCTGCTCCATCAGACGTCACACTGAAGGATCAGCAGTCTCTAGATTTCAGCTCTCAGCAGGTTCTTCTTCAGGGTTTGTTGTGTCACGCAGCCTTTGTGTCGGGCAGCTTCCTGCGGTCCTTCCCGGCGTTCCTCTTCCTCTTCTTGCTCAGGAAGTTCTCCAGTTTGCCGCTCTTCTTCAGCTCCTGGTATTTCTCAGCCAGCTGCAGCTTCTTCTTCTCAGCTGCAAAAAAACAACAACCAGGAGTTGAGAGAGATACATTTTAAAAAGGGTCTCCCTTAAAAAGTGGTTTCCAGCTTTTTCAGTTTATTTAAATAAAACATATATATATATATATATATATGATATAGATGATATACGTCTTCACGCTTACAAGAGGACATTCTTCATACTTAATAACTTTTTCGCTCTTCTTCATTATTCTGTCTTTTATTTTTATGGTGTTCATTTTAGCTTTTCATCTTTAAACTTCACTAATTGTTTTACATCTTTAAGCTTTTTATCTCTCTCACTGCCTCCGATGTTTGCTCTCTCTTTCATTTTAAGTATAATTTAAGAACTCTTGGACTCTCAGACTTTTTATTTAATCACAGTCTGTTAAAGACAGGGCACTATATCAATCACTATAGTATCATGCACCTTAGAGACTCCACAGTGATTTTTGATTTTTTGTGACTTTAATTTCAGGGATTTTTGTTCTTGCAAATTTGACACTTTCATCTAGGATTTTTTTCTCAGTTTATTAACCCCCACCCTGGCTCTGTATTTTTGGACACGTAAAATAGTCTATCTAAATATGTGAAAACACTTAGGAGAATTCAATTCAAAGACCACAGATGGGCTACATTTCAGAAACTGGCCAGCTAATTAATTATGATCTGCTCTGTAAAATCAGAGAGGCTACAGTGCTTGCTGTCTGAACGTAAATAACTTCATTTCAGCTGCGACCACAGTGGAACAAGTCGGGATGAAATCTAAATATTTAATCAAGTGGTGTGTAATAATAGCCTACTTCAGATGTGCAGATGTGGTGTGGAGCTCACGTATACAGGGTAACCTCTAGTTAACCACAAACAGAACCTGCACGGAGCGGTTTAGAGATGCAGCGTAAATTGCCATGGCAACAGACCTCGGGTAACACCTGTCCACCTTTCATAGTACGGGTAAATCTGGAAGTTACACCCGACGTCACAAAGTCACTCCTGAAGTTACCTGGATAAGCCAGTGACCTCGCTTCGCAGTACAGGCCACCGCTCTCAGTGCTGAAAATAAAGAGCCCAGGTGTGTAACCAGAAACAGAAAAGGTGTTCTTACAGTTCTTGAGGAAGAACGGTCCTGTGCCCTGATTGGCTCGTTCTCTCTGCTGCCTCTTGAACTGTAGCTCTCTCTCTCTCTGCTGCTCTCGGCTCTTCTTCGCTCGCTCCTGGTTCTCCTGCAGAAAAGGGCACAGTTCACACCTTTAAAGCCCGCAAACACGCCTCCACACAAACTGAAACACATGCAGGAACAAATGCTTTCAGTGTCGCATTTCTTTACCAGCAAATTAACATCGTCAAACATCAGCGAGGAAAAGAACTGATTGGAGCCAAAGTAAATATTAAACGAGCCTGATCAAACTGAACCATTACATTTCACTTTACCTTGTCAGTCAGAAGTTGGTCAGTAGATTCTCTTTTAGGACAGTGGCTCATCTTAAAGGGCAACTTATTTTGTAACCTGAACCTTATGTTTTTGTGTCTCCGTGACTAATTGGAACAACATATTTTGAAATTGGTCCAGTATTGAGCGAGCGCGCTGCAGTGAAACAGGGCTGCAACGTAATCCTTGCACACCGCCAAAGTACATCCACTACTTGTCAGAAACAGCCCGTCAATACCACCAGACTCCATTGTTAAAAACAGTAATTTTATCTTACTCTTTAAAAAATAAACACAAAAACATGGGAAGCCCCTATTTCCAGGGAAAACGACTAAAATAACATACCCAAAATGAATCAGGAATAACTCCTGCTCTGAAGCTAAGGAATATGAATCCATTGTAAATTAACATATTTATTTTACCATTACAGACTAAATGGAGACGCAATAAAGAAAAATATCATATTTTCATCCTCGCTTGGTAAAAAAGCTATATTTAATACAGTAAACCACTGGTTCTTAACCTTTCTGGCAATCAGACCCCTTTCTGAAGTTGAAAATATTTCACGACCCTGATTTATTGCAGTGGTTCTTAACCCCCAGGTTAAGAGCCACTGCAATAAACCATCATCAGATAGATTATAATGGAGCTGAATATTTTCTAATACACAATTGAAATTGTAACTGTAAATTTGATGAAATTAAACTAAAATAATAATAGTTATTACACAATTTTTTGTCCATATTTACTGTTTAAATGTTGAGTTTAAACGTGTGGGAGTTATCTTTGAAACACTATTTCCAGTGTTTCCCCATTAGTTCATGTATTTGTGGCGGCCGTTTTTTTTAACTAGGCCCATTTAAAATCAGAGTGGCGTAACGCATTCGCGCAGCACATCCTCTCTCTCCCTCATGAACACAGCTGCACAAATCTATCCAACACAACGCTGTCAATGTCGGTGACCCAGCTTTAAAAAAGTTATTAGCAAGCATGTAAGGAGCCTAGCTAATAAGGAGCGCTAAGTTAATGTTAGAAAACAGCTGGGTTTTTGAGGCTAGCACGCTGTGTATAGCAAGTTAACAAGGGGACGTCACTTTCGGTGAAGCTCAGACTCACCATCCTCTTCAGAAGGAACTGCAGCTTCTCCTTCCTCTGGTTGTTCTTCTTCGTCTTCTTCAGCTGCTTCTGGATGATCTGCAGACAAACAACTCAATAACGTTCATTCTCAGGCCAACGTCCTGACTTTAAAGCAGATTGTTCTACATTTTAAAGCTCAGCTGGCAGGTTCGATCCAGCGATCTCTCACCTGTTTCTCTCTGTGTTTGATCTCATCAATGAATTTATATGTCTTCTCAAAAATCTCCGGATTGTATTCTCCAGACAGGTCGTCAAAGCGAGGATCTCTCAACGTCTGAGTGAAAAATACAGTTTAAAAGTATTTGAGGCAGAGGAGACAAACACAGACTGATTTTAATCTGCAGGTTTCCTTCACTCACTGGTTTCCTGACGGGGACGACCTGACGGAGGAACGGCACCGGCCTCTTAGCTGAAATCTCCATCGGCCTGAAAACACAAGCACACGCTCTAAAAACCCTTAAAGGGGAAATGTAACGAGGCAGCTGTGTGAGCAGGCTGCGACGGTTCACCTGTTCTTGTTCAGTCGTTTCTTTTTGCGGCTCTCTCCGCTCTTGCTGCTGCCATACGCGACCTCGTTGTAAACTTTGGTTCCTACTTTGTTCTGCAGCTTCATGATGTCCTCAAAGGACATGTTGGAAAGTTCTGGCAGGGTTACAGAACAGAGACTCAGTTGGTTATGATGGAAATCTGTCATTTAACAGGATGAAGCCTCTTCTCTCCACTACAGGCAGTGAATGATGGTGGAAAATGATGCACAACTGCACCCCGTCAAAGGACATCCACTACAGAGCTTGTTTTTACCGCTGACATGCTCAGATTGTTAATATAAGTGTCAGACAACAATCTTGAAAGGATCCCTACAGAGAGAGACCTTTTTTAAAGAGTAAGATCCTTTTTCTCTCACCACAAACAGCCGCTATATTGCTATGTCACAACCACCAGACTCCATTGATAAAAACAGTGATTTTACCTCACATAACAGGGGAGCTGCTGGTCTACCGCTGCCTCAAGGGGTTAGTTAACTTGGGTTATTCTGTGTATTCTTTGCCATTTTTATCCCTTTAAAAAAAATAAAAATCACGAAAACATCTAAGTCACACAATAACACAAGCAAACAGTACACCACCAACTCCAGTGTTATGCATTGTAAAATTACTGTTTTTATCAATGGAATCTGGAGACTTTGAGGAGGGCGTTATAGTGCCTGTTTCTGGATTAACGAAAACAATTTGACTTTATTTTTATTTTTTTTAAAGGCCACAAAAACTTGGAGTCGCTTTTTCACTCTTGTCAAAGCCACCAGACTTCATTGATAAAAACAGTAATTTTAGCTCTCTGGTCTACTTCTGCCTCAGTCGGTTTGTTAGTTTTTGTTCATTTGTGTTACTGCATGACTTTGGGTTTTTTATATGTTTGTGTTACTGCACGATTTTGGTGTTTTAAAACACCAACTAACATATGGAGGCAGTGGTAGAACAGAGAGGTAAAATTACTGTTTTTATTAATGGAGTCTGGTGACGAGGGTGATATAGTGGCTGTTTCTGGTTAAATAAAAATGATGTCCCAATTAGTCATTATTTAATATTTTGTAGACAAACTCACCGTTTTTAATGTCTTCTCTTGTCTGGACGCCACCGCTACCACCAGCATCTTCTCCATCTTCATCTTCTTCATCCTCCTCCTCCTCCTCAGAGGCTTCCCTGCCTCCGTCCTCTTCTTCACCCCCCTCAACCTCCTCCTCTACTTCACCATCATCAGACGCTTCCTCACCAAGATCCTCCTCATTTTCGTCATCTTCATTACCACCATTGGACCCGTCTTCGTCTTCTTCATCATCATCATCACTGAATGCTTCCTCTCCTCCATTGTACTGCTCTCCCTCCTCAGTCCCTCCTCTCTTCGTGAGCAGAGCGAAGTTCTTCTCCACGTCAGAGTCTTCATCATCACTGCTGCTCGCCACCATGTTTTTCTTCTTTGAGACCGCCAGCTCGCGCCGCTGCTTCTCCTTCGCCGCCATCATATTTTTTTTATGTTTCTGGAAGATGCAGACGGCTGTAGAGAACAAAAGGACCAACCTTAAAATACACATAAATGCAGCAGGAATATTAATACAGAAACATCAGATATAATTGTGAAACACAGACAGGAACATTTTACAGTACTATGAGTACTTTTACTTTCATACTTTAAGTACATTTAGCTGATAATAAATACATACTTTTTCTTAAGTAAGGTTTTGAATGCAAGACTTTTAACCGTTGTGGAGTATATTCACGTTATAGTGTGTTATTAGTACTTTTACTGAAGTAAAGGATCTGAATACTGCTTATCTGATGGCTGTTGAACCCCACAGAGTCAGGGCAGACCTGAGCTTCTTAGGATAGTTTCAGGGGGATTCGTGTTTAATAAGTATAATTAGGAGAACAGTCAGACAACAAGTTTTAACCATAGACCGGATTTAAAAAGGTTTTGACGAACTCTACTGATGTCCGCGCATCAATGGCTGCAATAAAGCTGGCCGCCATGGGCAGCACTGACCACAATGCATCAGTCCGTCAGAGAGGAAGCTTTCGCGCCATCTTGGATTTCACATTAGTTGTTTTGAATTTGATGAAATTCGCTGGCGCTCCATCGGTGTAAACAGAGTTTTTGTTACTTTACAAGCGCCTAAAATCGACGTGAATTCTCCTGAACTGTTGCAGAGAAGTTCACCTGTCCTCCAGGTGGGTTCGTATGTTCAGCCTAGGTCTGATAAGCTACTTAATTAGCACGGAAAAGTCTGAAGTGACTACTCTGATTGCCACCTACACGTCACCACCATCAGTACTAATGGTCTGTGCTTAGTTATCTCCAAACTCCCAATTTAAATTCAAGCGTATTGTTTATTCTACTGCTGATTAATCGTCTGTTATTTCACTTGTATACTTGTACTAACCTAATCACAATAACGGCAGGTCTCGTAGAGCTAATAACTGTAAACTGAACTCCATGCAAAATATCTGGCATTTTGTGAATTTCTGGTTTACAGCATTAATAGGTTGAAAAGGGGAGCGTTTGATATTTTATGGTATCGATAAGAGCTAACACTTGGATTCGGGCTATCCAAAGTGATTACGCAGATTATTTAACGAAAATGTAGGTGTTTGTTTATTTGTTAGCTTGTTTTTCATAATCTCAGTAACTTTGTTTGCTTGCATTAACAATAAACTCGTGTAACGCTTACAAGTTAACCTCAATATTCTTTGGGGGGGGGATACTGTCCTTCTGTCAATCACTTCTATGCCGAATTAACAGATGGATCGTAAGGTAAATATAAATGTATCATTACAATTTTTTTGTAACAACATGCCTTCATTGAAAAACAAATAAGTTTCAAACCGGCAGATTTTCAATTGAGTTTGACGTGACGTTCTCTGCAGTAGCTGGAGATCAGAAAACGTAACGTGACCCAGAGCGAGCTAAGAAGTCCACACAGCAGAGGGGTCATTACAGATCCAGTCTGCGGGGGTTGAGTTAAAAATAAAGGTTTATATAACTTACCTCAATATCAAGTTGTTAAAGTCCTGTTTTACTGAGCACCATTATCCACGTGTGTGCTTGGCGGCAGCAAGTATCGCTCCAGGAAGAAAGCAGTTCCGGTTTCAAAACAAATGTTTCACTAAATTCTTAGACGGTTTTGGACGAGATTAAGGAGTGAATGTGTTCCGATTTCATGCAGACACGTTTAACATCTGAGCCTGTTGTTGTTTATTACTGACATGCCTCAAATTAAGCAACATTTCTACACCAGTGGATGTTTGTCTGACTCTGTTGTTTTGTAGGTTGAAAATACTACCTTCCTGTTTTGGCGGCGCTGCAACATGTTAGCTTCACATTACAACGCTGCTACTTCCGCTCATGGACAGACCTGTCATGCGCAGTGCTGCCCTCTGCTGGCCACACACACAGCCTGCTCCAATTATACTTAAATGTAACTCTTTTTTTTGTTTTTTTGTTTTTTTTCTACATGAGTTTTTCCAGCGATCATCTCATCAGAAAAATGCATTAATATTCTTTAACTTTATCAAGTTTGGGTGTGTTTTTATTAAATGTTTATTTCACTGTGACTGTGTCTGAGTTTAATTGAATATAAATTAATAGTACTGCAGGTAAAAAAAAAACAAAAAAATAATCCTAAATGTACTAAGAAATTAATAAATGCATATATTTATTTAGTTACTTTCGACCCGCATGAAGACAACCCCTCTGAAAAAGATAAGAACATCTTATCAGCAGACTGGTTAGTGTTCCTTTCACCGTTCAGTCAGAACAGGTGTTTTTAATTAATTGGTTGTTGTCAGGTAAAAGTGCTCTGACAGCAGACTTGATGTCGACTGAAGAGTTATTTATCAGCAGCAAGATTCAAGCAGCAGCACAGAGTTCTTCGGTCACCTGTACAGCAAATGTGATTTGTCCTTAATGAGCTGTCTTCATTGTGAGTGAAGAACAAAGAACCAGCCTTATCCTGGCAAACATTTCCTCCTATTTTCAATTTCTTTAAACAGTCAGGTGTAGGAGTGTTGGCTGGACATTGTGGGGCTCTGAGATTTCTTCATCTGGCGTCCAGTTCGGCTGCCAGGCATCTCAGGATTTTGTTGTACCTGCAGGTGAACGTGCCCTCTGTGAGGCTGCTGCTGCAACCCACTAGTATGTGCTTGATGTTGGCAGGCAGCACCTTCTCCCAGCACAGATTCGGGTCTGCAGGAGAGGGACAGATGCCTAGATGCCTTCTCATGATATGAAATATTTTACTTTAGCTCCATTTTGACCATCTACAACAGCCAAATGCTGCTTAGTAATACAATCTAATTCTATAGTAAGGGTCACATGGAAGGTCTGCATTGTGAGCAACATACACTTTCAATACAGGGCTTTTAGTAGTAACCTGAAATACTTTATCCTAGAGGGGAAACTGTTTTGTTCCAGTTTCACATGGTGCCAATCAAGGCATTAAAGAAAACAGAAATAATAATGAAAACATTGGTAAGTAGGAAATAGAATAAAGACAATATACAAATATACATAGGAATATGGAAATATGTAGTCAACAGTGTTCAGGATGTTGCAGAAGTGTAATGAGTTAAGTATTAATAACTATGAGGACAGATAATGTTGAGAGCTGGATTTGATTTAAATTTGTAAAATTTGCATGAAACAGGAAGTTGATCCCCAAAAAAGAGGAGTTAATGACATTGATTTTATTATAAGGGTATAACATTTGATGACTAATATACTGTAGATTTAAATGATATACAAAACATGTATGGTGTAATAGTGTACCAAAATACAAATATAATATTGTTTGGAAATGATGTTTACATTTTTTAAATTTGAACATTGTCTTGCTGTTCCAAATGACTAAATGTGGTGTGGTAATCTGTGTTAAAAGGCTGTTTTAAAATGAAATTTATCTCTAAGGTGGATTCATACAGAGGGACCTCACGTGTATGTCAACACAGAACCAGAGAGCTGTAACCCACAGGCAAGTTTTAAGAACATCGATAACGATGCTAGTGATGCTAATCCTGCGTATTGTCTGTAGAAGGCCTTAATCATTTGGTCAGATTCGCCTATTTCAACAATCTTCTGACAATGGTAAACAAAGAAGCAAATGTTTAGAATGTTTAATGGGGTAGTACTCTAACATGTAATTAAGTCTTATCAAGAAGCAATGCTGATGCATGTAGCCGTTTTGCTACTCTCTTTGTTCAATCTATGGTTTTATTCTTATCCATGATAAGCTTAAGTTCTGTTGCAGAATAGAATGGCACCAAGAAACAGAAATAAATAAAATGAACATTTTTGACAACATGTTGGAGTCTTTAATCATTTTAACATCTTAATCAATAGTCAGCTACAATAAAATGGTGAACTAAACTCTGTCAAAATTAGTGGTGGGCATAGATTCATTTTTTTAATCTAGATTAATCTCACTGTAATCTTGGAATTAATCTAGATTAAAATGGCTCGTTTGAATTCTTCCGAAGGCATTCAGAATATGTGTGCTACCTAAATAAATAAAAAGTCTTTGAGAACAGGTTTATCAAGTCAGGTGGCGCATTAGACCAGGGGCTCATCTCCTGTTTCCAAAGTGCATCACAAACTGCTTGAGAAAACCATTGGGAAGCTTCTAAAAAATAAAATTTCCTTGAAACAAACCCGGCGGCTTCATGGCTGCATCCATGTTAGCACGTCACGTTTGATGTGGTAATTTCACAGTAGGCACACACACAGGTTCGAAGACTCGTTCTCGCCCCCTACAGTGCAATTCGGCCAGGTATACATCTGCGCTAAAATATCAAGGTGAAAGTCATCATAGCTTGCGTAGTAGGCCTACATCCGCAGCCTGTTTTCCTGCTCTGCTGTGAAGGTCCTGTTATTTGGCTGTGAGCATCCTGGTGGTCCAGCCTGCAGCCTAGTGGACTCTGCCCCCCTCCCGCAGTATCTAAATAAGGTAGAATGGCTGCGTTTCAATCGTCCCGACAGTGACTCTTGACGTTTAGACTTCACTGGCTTCTAAACTGTAAAACTTTGACATTTAAAACTTCAGCATGTGTTAAACTAACTAATCTTTTATGTGATCACGACCATGGCACATGGAACAATAAACACAACTCGTCATTCAAAAAAAAAAGTCGCTTGAGTGAATTTACTTTCTGTGATTGAAAACACCTTCTTTCATATAACTCTGTGAAAGTGTTACCTATCCACCTGATTTTCCCTGTTCTGTTGAGTACTGTGTTCTGTATGTGCTGAGGTAGTTAGGCATATCAGACTTGTATGGGCTCCAAGAAAATCGCTGTTTCATTCGTCCCGCGTTTCAGTAGTCCCGGCTCTCCCCTATAGACCCAGCTCCCAAAGCAGACATCTTGAGGAATTCAGAGATAAATCACATGTTGGCTTACTTTTTTAAATCCATGAAAAGAACAAGACCACAAGATAGAATTACAAAAACTGTCCCATTATACCTGAATTCACTCATATTGGGACAGAATAAACCAGAATATTGCTCTGTTTAAGGTCCAGTTTAAAGACTAAAGAGTCAGAGTGTTGTTTTATAGAAGTAGGGGAGACCAGGTATGGTTGTAACATGGGGAGAGTTGTAACAACACCAATTCCACCAATAAGAGATAAGATAGGAGTTAGGTGATCATTTCAGTGTTATGTAGAGAAAAATATGATTTTATGGTAATAAAATAATTTTTTGACCAAGACTATATTTTGTTTAGCCTCTATGCTATTGCAGATAAAATTGTTTGACTTAGATTGAAATGTAGTTTCTTAGGCAACATGTGATGCATTTTTTCTTTCTAATTTCAAACCACTATGTTAATACAACTAACTAAACATTGGCTGACAGGGGTGGGGTGGGTTGTAACACTTCTTTAAAAAGTGCAAAACAAACAACTAGGGATTTTCATGATTTCGACACACACTTCTTTTTAGTAGTATTTATTAAGTTTATTCTATAAATACATTTACATACACAGACAATCTGTTACACTGAGAGAGAAACATTGTTCTTTTTTGTATCACTACCTGTTTTTGAAGCATGTCATGTGGCATCTATTTTTGCTTCTTTTGTCTTAACCTACCCCGGTAGTGGGGCAGGTTGTAACAAGGGAACACAATGCATTTGACATCAACTCACGAGGTCTGTGATATTCATTCTTGTAGAGGACTGAATTGGTGCCATTTGTAGTGAACAAATGTGGGTACTTTGTAGAACTCTAGCTACAAAATTTAGTGAGTCAAAAAGTGTTACAACCACACCCGCTCTCCCCTACTTTTACTTAACTAAAGGATCTGAATACTTCCTCCACCACTGCATATTAATATTTGCTTGCACAGATCTGACAAAAGGTTAGATGTAATGATGTCGTTGCCACCTGAAAGCAGCTGTAAGTGGCGGAGATAGGCTATAATAAAGTCAGCAGGTTTAGTTCTTCAATAATAATAATGCAGATCAGCTCGTTTAGTTTCGGCCTAAAAATGAACAGCTGTGAATTTGTAAAAATTTTTTATTCACACAAACAAGCAGGAGGAGGAGTTTATTCCCGTTGCCAGGAGATCCCGGTGAAGAGCTCCGTCAAGTGGCACATATTCAACCCGGAAGTGGATGAACCGTCCTTCAAAATAAACAGTGGTGGGAAAACTACTTTTTAAATTGTTCACTCTAGGAAAATTTGTGATACCACCTGAAAGAAAAACTCAATTGCGAGTAAAAGTCTTGCATTAAAAATAAATTTAAGTGAAAGTACAACATCAGGAAAATGTACATCAGGTACTCAAAGTACTTGTTTGTCAGTGTTATATTAGTACTGGATCATTATTACTGATGAATTAACATGTAAAATGGGATGCTTTTAAAAACACTTTGGAAAGTTAAATCTATAATGCAGCATCGTATTTTATATGTCACATGTTTTGTTGTTTGAGTACAAAGTAGGCTAGACTTAAAAAATGGCTCTGAGGTGTAGAAGTGGTTTGACTACCTGCTTTTATAGTGGAATGTAACTAAGTACATTTACTTAAGTAGCCTACTTTCCTGAAGTAGCTACTAGTACAGCATTTCTACTTTATGCTACTTCAAACATGTACTACAGTAACTTTAACTGGGAGCTTTACTTTGCAGTCAGATGAATATAAACTATATAATCAGCTAATAAATAAAGATACACCAATCAGCCATAACATTAAGATCACAGACAGGTGAAGTGACAACACTGATTATCTTGTCACCATGGCACTTGTCAGTGCGTAGGATGCATGAAACAGAAAAATGGGCAGTGTGAGGTAGTGTTTTAGTACTCAAGACCGGTCTTAAGACCACTTTTTGATGGTCTTGGTCTCGTCTCCGCATTTGTACTCGTACTCGTCTCGGTCTCGGACATTAAGGACTCAGGATTTTATTTCAAGACCAGTCAAGACTATAACTTTGGAATATCAATAAATTGCTTTTGCATTCTGATTTATTTGTTAACATCCTAACTTTGTTTGGATGTAAAACGTATTGCTTCAAATGCAACCAATAACCCTAATTAAAAAAAAATAATATATATATATATATATATATGTAGTAGTTCATATTAGCCCCACCTTTAACAGCTGTAGAATTAATGATGCTTACATATTGATCAATAATTATAACCCAATAAGATATTATTCTGAAATGGGCCATTCTACATAATAAGTACTTTTACCTTTAGCACTTTGAGTATAATTTGATGCCGATACTTTTGCACTTTTACTTAAGTAAGTATATGAATGTAAAGCAGAGTATTTCTGCACTGTGGTATTACTACTTTTACCTAAGATGGAAAACTTCCTCCACCACAGTCTTTAAGTTATCAATAATTTATGAATGAATGGATCTATTTTATGTTATCATTACCTATTCATTAATATAAATATAATTATTATGTGTTTATCTGTTTATTTATCTGTCACATCAGAGATGATTCAGGAACCAGGGTGCTAAATTACGCTTTTATTCTGAAAACTCGTACCGGACGTGCCGTTGTCCTCTCCAGCGGAGCGGCTGCTGACCGGTGCGTGTGTTGATTGAATGGTTGTGATCCAGACACACTCGCAGTCAGACGGGTCTTGGATGCTGAGCAGGATCAGAGCTCAGCAGGAGAGCCGCTGCAGCTCCGCCCGCCGCGCCTTGCCCCCTTTTCCTGCTCCGATCATCAAACCCACCTCAGTTTTTTTTTTTATCCCCGAACCGCATCTTCTGCAGAAACCAGTCTGTTTCCTCTTCTCGCCTGAGGGATCGGACCGCAGACAGGTAGAAAAGGCCCGCTGGCTCCCGGCAACAGGTCGAGAAGCAGCTGAAATATTAATATTAATTATAATAAAGTGGATGTGGATCCAGCGGACTGAGACCAGCAGACCAGAGGAGGAAGAGGAGGAGGAGGAGGACGGGGTGATGGTTTGAGCTGCAGTCTGGATGCGACAGAGAAGAAACCTGCCAACATGATGCCGGTGAGTGTAAAAACATTTTTATCCAATCATTTAGTTTCCATCATTAATAATTAAGCTGCAGCTTTTATTTTGTTAAAAACCCCAAACCTGACGAGTTAGGGTGAAATATATTAATAAAAGCAGACTCTTTACCGTCATACAGTTCTGTCCAGGTTAGTTCCTGCTCCTCTGTGTGCAGACTGAGGGGGGTGATTAACGGGATTAAATCAGGGGAGGCTTCTGGGGCTGCAAGAGTTTTATTTTATTTCCATTGTCTTCATATTACTGAAAAACAAAAGGTCTGTTATGGAGATGCTTCAGGTCTGCAGCTGAGAAAGAATTTACTACAATGATGAAACGCACATGGTGGACTACTTTTAATGCAAGGCAAGTTTATTTTTATGGCACATTACAACAAAGGGGCAAATTCAATTACACAGGGCGATATAAAAAGACATAGAAATACAATTTTAAAAATAGTTAAATAGAAAATTAAAACAAGATAAAACATTAATCAAAAGCCTTAAATTTGATCTAATAAAAGGCAAAAAGAAAAGTCTTCAGTCTTGATTCAAAAGTACTGAGAGTTGCAGCAGATACATGGAGCATAAAAACTGGTATCTATGGTCCTGCGTTGTTCTCAGTTCTCATGAATAATTAAATACATGGACTCAGTAGTAGAAACATAAGTGTACAATGTGACACACAAGTGGAGAACGCCAACACCACAAAAAAAAAGATCTAAGTTGCAATTAAAATCAAGCAAAGGAGAAATGAAATCACCCAGGAGGAGATGAAAGCTTCAGCTCTGACTAACTGATGAGCTAAAACATGAAACCCACAGATATGGTCCTTTTAAATTCTGGCAGCGTTCAGGTGTCTAAAAATCAACAAGTCCTCCAACCTAAGCTGCAACAGAGGTCACTTATCCATGCCTCCCAAAATGACATATGAGCGTTAACCTACGTCACATGACATTAAACATCGTTTTCACCTGTCAGCACTAACACGCTACCCCAGAGTTTAAAACCAAAACAGGGTCAGCAGCGTTTTTAAACTTCAACATTTTAGTCTGAACGGGAGGAAACGTAGCAGAAGGTCTGAGTTTTAAATCCAAGACGTAAGAGTGTGGATGGAGCCTTAAACGTGATTTATACTCCTGCGTTGGGGCTATGTGTGTAGCTACGCACATAGCCATACATTCATACTTGTGTACCGGTGTCTGCGTCGTTCTGCAGTTACACCGCCAACTATTGGCGGTAGCGCTACAGCGTCCACTGTGTTGACTTTTGCTGGCCGAGCAGGCTAATTTACAGTTTAGCCCTTCGCTAATGTGAATGGGGGTAAAATTGTATACGTGTGACTGTTTCTCAAATGTTATCGACAGAATGGATCACATTCTGATAGTGAAACGAGTCATTTTGCTCGGGTTGTGATGCTCAAATATATTGATCCACTGTGTTATAGCCGCTAGATTGGCCACTAGTAAATGTACTTCAAAGCCCGGAGCACTTCCTGTCGGCTCAGAGGCATTGCGAGGCTACCCGCCGGCAGGACACCGTGCTGTGGAGATAACGTCCTTCGGATGAGACGTTAAACCGAGGTCCTAACTCACTGTGGTCATTAAAAATCCCACGGCACTTGTCGTAAAGAGTAGGTACCCCGGTGTCATGGCAAAAATTTCCAACCTGGCTTTCACCATCTGGCCATCTAATGATCCCCCATAGTAATTGGCTCAATGTTTCCCTCCCTCTCTGCCTCTAGCTGATGTGTGGTCAGCGTTCTGGCGCTAAATGGCTGCCGTGCATAACCAAGGTGGGGGCTACACATTGATGGTTGAGGTGAGTCCCCCCCACCTCACTGTGAAGTGCTTTGAGTTTCCATGATAAAGCCCTATATAAATGTAATGCATTATTATAATGCATTATTATTACCCAGCCAACCGATCACAGTCCTTACGGTCTGTGTCGCCCCGACGTTTAGTTACATTTATGAGGAGATGCACGTCAGGCGACGGCATTGGATACTGTGTAGGGTACGGGGCTACGCACTGTTGATTCAACGCAGAAGTATAAATTATGCTTTAGGCGACAACTACTTGATTAGGTTTAGGAAAACGTTGTAATTTGGGTTAAACTTGTCAGTAACTCTATTTAAACTCAAAATAACTCAACATTTACTTGGTTTCAAACGGGCCTAGAACACCGTTCTCCTGAGTTTAAGTCCACGGTTTGACTTATCCAACCTACTTACATAAACTTTCTTACTAAAATACGTCACCCGACTTCCTTTTTTGGTGCCATTGTCCAGCCACTAGAAGTTGCTGCAACAATAAACGTAAATATGGGTCCTAAGAACGTTCTGCACAAACAACCTATATTGGTGTTTTTCTGTAAGGACAGTCTCCTAAAAACATGACGCCAGGTGGAGGAACTTTAAAGTTTAGTGCCGAATCAGTTAGTAAATTCATCAGTTTGTCGATCAACAGAAAAATCAACAACTCATGGAACATTCGAAGTGAACACATGGATATGAAGATCAGTGACATTAGCAACAGATCATAGGATGGTCAGAGGAAACTTTGGCAGAAACAAAGTGAACCTCATCGTCATACGAACAAAGCTCTGAGATCAGCTCTAATTATAGAACACCACCATTGTGCCATTGTCTTCATTTTGAATGCTGGTCCTCCCCTGGTTTAAAAGGGAAAAACAAGCTTTGACCTTTTCATCCACACTGCAGTGCTGTCCTCAGTTTTACTGCTTCTGAACAGGTTGGACATGTTGAGTTCTGTTCTGTTCTGGACCAGGTTCTCAGGGCTGGTCTGTCCTGCCTCTCACTGCCGAGGGTCTCTAATGAGGCCAAAAACATGGCTGGAGAATAAGTTCCCATTTTGTAATACCCTGATTTAACTAAGCGTGTGTGGTGGGAAAAATGGCGTCTGGTGCTCCTCTGTGTACCATCCTAGCAAAACAGCTTGTTTGTTCTGGCTTGTGAATCTTTTTGGCTGCGTGAAAACAATAAAACTCCACTCAAAAGCATCATTGATTCATTTTGAAATCAGGGATGTTGCATTAAAGTCTGTTTCCATAATTAGTACTCGATCATGTCTGCAACACCTGACCAGGCGGCCCATCAACAGCAGAGAAACAGCCGTACAGGTGGATCATGCAGCAGCTTATTACGACCCATATTTAGGTTTGTTGTTTAGGCCGTGACCTCTAGTGGCAGAAGAAGTCAGGTGACGTGGTATAAAGAGCGACAAAGTCTGTGTGAGGAGGTGGTGGATGGATGAGTCAAGTAAACTCAGGACTTTCCCTGAGGAGACTGAAGTTCAAGTACCAGTCCAGAGATAATCATCCTATTCTCTTTTGTACAGCTCTTTGCACAGAGCTCAGTGAGCTTCGGAAGATAATAATAATACTTAAAAACTTATATTTTTATAATGCCATTCAAAGGACCCAAGGACGCTTTACACATAACTACAGAGACACAACAAACAACAGAACAACAAAAGGTCGTTCTGGATTGAATGCCTTGAAGAGGTAGGGTTTTAGCAGATTTTTAAAAGTGTCCAAAGAGGAAGCTTTGCAGATCTCTGAGGGGATGGAGTTCCAAAGGGTGGGGGCTGCGACGCTGAAAGCTCTGTCCCCAAAAGTCTGCAGTCTGGTGTGGGGGACAGAAAGCAAGCCCTTGTCGGTGGACATCAGGTTCCGTGAGGGGGTGTAGGGGTGGAGAAGTGACAGTGGGGGCAGCTGAGTGGATGGTTTGGTCCCAAGATACAGCTGTGTGTCATCAGCGTAACAGTGGAAACTGAGACCATGGTGGCAGATTATCTGGTCAAGGGGGAGAATTTAAATGGTGAAAAGGAGGGGTCGAAGCACAGAACCTTGAGGCACAACTTGTTTAACTGGGGCCCGGAGGAGCTAGAATCTCTGTAGGTGACGAACTGTTCCCTATTAGAATGTGCTCAACTGGTGAGGCCTACACATTCAGATATACGGTTGAGAAGGATGGTATGGGAAACAGTGTCAAAGGCTGCTGAGAGATCTAGAAGACTGAGGATGATGATATGGCCAGAATCAGCTGCGATGAGGAGGTCATTAGTGATTTTAACGAGGGGAGTCTCAGTGCTGTGGTGCGCTCTGAAGCCAGATTGAAGGGGTTCATAGAGATCATAGTGGGACATGTGTTGGTGAAGTTGGGCAGCGACTACTCTTTCCAGGATTTTGCTCAGGAAGGGAAGCAGATCAGGATGAAGGTCTGGCTACACGTGCTTGTCAGAATCCGTGTTTAGTAGTTAGTATTGTGCAGATTCTTCCAGCTGACACTCCTTGCTAACAATAAGTCATGGCATCAACAGACTTACTTTATTTTGAAAAATCACACTTTATTTTTATTCAGATAGGACTGAGGCTGGTTTCTCCACCACACCGCATGTAAAAACAAAAAATACACAGTTGGATTTTCCAGTTTCCGAGAACCTTCTTCTCTCAGAGACCGACACTTTGAAAAAGCCTAACACAACATATAGACGCACAAGAAACCCTTTTTAATATGTATTTTTAATATATACAGTTTGGTTAGGTTTAGGAATGAAAAAGTTCTTTATTAGGTTTAGGAAAACATCATGGTTGAAATAAGGACATTACGTGACGGTGGATGGGTAACATTAAAGTTACTTGAAAGTCCAGAGTGTCTCGTTCAGACGCTTCAGATACCAACCAGCTTTCTCAAAGCGCCTGTGTTGGACGCCCTGGAATGTAGACCTACGTTATATTTCAAACCGAATGTCCTTCTTAGTTTGGGCATGCTAACATTTATTAAACACAATTTCACCACTACAGTCTGTTTATATTTGAGTTGTTGGGATTCAGTCGTGGCAGCAAATTAAACCAGAGAGGTGTGAGCTGTCCAGTGAATCCTAATGTCAACAGTTAACATTTAAAAATCTGCATATAAGATCTGCTGTCTTCCCCTTTTGCTCATTAAATGATAAATAAAATAGGAACATGATGATG